TCGTTAAAACGAGAAAAGATGTCATTAAAACGACATAACATCTCGTTATTACGACATAATTGAGTGGAAAAAATAATATGAGTGTGGCAGCAATGCGTCCCCGTTTAGAAATCATTGGCAAATGACTCTAATATTAAATGTATATTCTGAGAAAATTACAATGTTTTCTGACCTTAGATGCATTTAAACCTGTTGTAGGGGACTCCAACACAATATTAGGACACTTTAAAATACCATATGACCTGTTCTTTAAGTAAAGCTTGTTACACTGTAAAATGTCCAATATCATTTAATGTCAATTACCCATACCAAAGTACTACAGTACTCATCAGATGCCATCCCTACACCGATATCACCTTTTTGTAAGGCTACATAGTAAACTTGTAGAGATGGTTTTCAAAAGCAGATAGACTATTGGTTGTCATGTAGTCAGCCAAGGGCTCTTCCTCTTCATTACTCCTACGTGCGACTCTGTTTGTGTTTTCATTGGATAATGACACCAGAAGCTCTGGCAACAGTAACAATAACAAAAACAACCTACGAACCTGCCGACTTCACACTTATCAACCTCCAGAGAGAAAGAGAAAGTGCTATGGATCCAGTGTGAAATACTGTGAAGATAACAAGAGAAAACTGTGCCAAGGACAGAGAGGGATGGGACAGGATAGGACAGGAAAGATTGATTGATAGGTGAGAGCAGAAAGCCTGATAAAAGGCTTAGGTGTGGAGAGGAGACACAAGCGATGAGAGATGAGCGGTAGAGGGAGGAGAGCAAACATGAGAGAGAGGTGGAGAGACAGATTACATCCAGGAGCTCCGCTGATAGGCAACAGCACTTGTAATAAGGCAGGATTGCTGTAAGAAGCAGATGGCCCTGTGGCAGAGAGAGACAGAGATATGGGCTAAACAGAAAATGATAATATCATGGAATCACTGATAGCTCTCATTTCTCTCTCACCGCTGTCTGCACTACACTGTCCTGGACATCACAACTAGCTCAGACCTTAGCTTTAGGGGGAAAACAAAATTTAAGTTGTTACTCTATTAATTTTACCTTGAGAAAAATTTAAATAAAAAGCCAAGAACACAACACTTGCAACACAACACTAAAAGAGCTTTAAATTGCATTAAAATATTTGGTCACACTTTATTTTAAGGTTCAATTCCCACTATTAACAAACCATTAACTTTGACTTTTGCCTCAATAAACTCCTAATTTGTTGCTTTTTAATAGTTAGTAAGGTAGTTTTTAAGTTTAGGTATTGGGTAGGGTTAGGGATGTAGAATATGGTCATACAGAATATGTGCTTTATAAGTACTAATAAACAACCAATATGTTAATAGGCATGCGAAAGCACTAAAAGTAATAATTGGTCCCTGCACTAAAGTGTTACCAAATATTTTATACTACAATAAGGTCAAATAAAGTTACTTTTTGACTTTCAATTATAATTTTTCATATCTAAATTATAAACAAAACTTTCCCCAAATTTACATACCTTTCAAAGATTTTGGGGTCAGTAAGTTTTAAAAAATATATATTTTTACTTCAGTCTTCAGTGTCACATGATCCTTCAGAAATTATTCTAATATGCTGATTTGGTGCTTAAGAAACATTTATCATTATTATCAGTGTTCAAAACTGGTGCTGCTTAATATTTTTTATGGAAACCATGATACATACGTTCTACGTTCTAATTCTAACAGAAAGTTTAAAAGAACAGCATTTTTGAAAAATAGAAATCTTTTATAACAATTCAAAATACTTTAATATCACTTATTAATATCAATATTTTTAATATAAAAAAAAAATCTATCTAAACTTTTCAATAGTAATGTAGGTCAACCAAGATTTCAGTTATATAAATCTTTATGAACTTTTTAATATTTCTAAATAGAACATGACAAATAATATACAAAGTGACAAATGATATATTCATAACGCAACCTCTGCTCTCAACAGCACAACCATGCATTATTCAGTCAATACAGCAATCTATACTACATCATGGGCTGTGGCATTAAACAGATGATAGAGATGAGCAGCATCACGCTTCTCCTTCAGTAGAGCAAGACTGCTGGATGTCCTCAGGAGCTGCCTGTGGCTGTCATATTTCAACAGCTCCATATGAACCCTAATAACCATCCATTGGGAGAACATCATAAGACCCACACAACCCTGTCCAAAGGGTCCCTCCCACACACACACACACACACACACACACATCAGCTCCTTTGTTGTTCTTTGTGAATGAAGAAGGGATCAAAGCAGCGGATCTCTACGTGAAGGTGCCCCAACCTCCGTCAGAACCATTTGGCCGGTAATGGGCTTTCATCGGGGGGTGATGAGGTGAGAGCAGGATAGGACAGATGGGGGAGAAAGGGGGATAAGGAATTAGGAACACGAGGGGGGCGGCAATTGATCAGCTGTCATCTCCGCTTACAGTATGCTGGTGCACCTTTCACAGGAAAATATCCGATCCAACTGGGTAAGATGCACACTGGGCACAATCATCTCCTCCATTTCAACTCTAGCAACAGGATACAAGAACTTTCAACAAAAGCCTCCATTTAGAAAACCCAACATGGATTACAAAAAATGTAGTGATGACATTAATGAGTTATGAATGAAAATATAAAAACAAAACCATAATGTAAACCTCATATCAGATTTTTCAACCCATAATGAGATGGTAAAATCCTGTTTTACTGTCGTTCTCTGGTGCCGTTCAGTATAATTATTCCAAACATTAATCACGCATGAACAATGGCAGTCCAATGCCCCACATACTTTGCAACATACTGTAACTGTCTCCTCCTGCTGATAACAAACCCATATTCTGGCATCTCACATACCAGACCGATGCTTAGCATTCTGCAGTGACATAAATGTGAACCTTGCCTCAAACTATTTAGGTACAGATAGTCTGAGGCAAATGATGTCCTAGTAGGACAAGACAATGATTTAAACAGATTCATTTTTATTGGATAGTTCACTTAAAAATAAACCTTCTGTCATCATTTACGCATGCTTATTCTTCATCTGCATTGTCAGAAAAAAAAGGTAAATTTGTAACTTTAGGGCCAACAGCTTGTCACTGAGGCAGTATCCTTGAAGGGGCAACTTTTGTACCTTATTAGTACCTTACAGTAGTATTATGTACCCTTAAAGTACTAATATGAACTTTTAGGGGTAAATAAGAAGAAAATACAACGATCCCCCTTTAAGGTTACTGACCTCCATCTGATGGACACTTTACAATCCCATGAGGCCATGGGAGAGGAGTTATGATTGGCAGTGAAGTGAAGCAACTGACGCTGGTGCCAACATTAGAAATGTAGCACTTCTGGATTACATTTTATTAGTGCTGTCAAACGATTAATCGCGATTAATCTCATCCAAAATAAGTTTTTGTTTACATAATATATATTTGTGTGTACTGTGTATATTTATTATGTATATATAAATACACACACACATAGAGTATATATTTTGAAAATATTTACATGTATATATCTATATTATACTGTATATAAATCTTTTTAATACATAAACATAACATATTTTTCTGAAATGTATACATGCATGTGTGTGTATTTATATATACTGTACATAATAAATATAATAATATAATAATAATAATAATAAAAGTAAATATACACAGCACACATATATTATGTAAACAAAAACTTTTATTTTGGATGCGATTAATCGCGATTAATCGTTTGACAGCACTACATTTTATACTACACACACTTATACTATACAGAACATAATTTCTAAACAGTTGTGAAGTAATTACTTATTGAAAAGAAGTGCCTAGATGCAGCCAAGCTGTTGTACACCTACATTTCTTTTGCACAACTTTTGACATTATTTCTTCCATAAAATACAAAAGGGGAAATGTCGCAGAATGTCCAGGCTGCTCTTTTCCATACAATGACAGTGAATGGTAATCAGACAGCTAAGGCCACTGCAATAAATAACTTATTTTGTGTTTCATAAAACCCGAGGCTGAGTAAATGATGACAGAGTTTTATTTTATTTCTTTAAATTACACGCCTACAAAAATCTTCAGATCATCAGATTCCCACCCAACCTTTCTGCTCTACAGAGATGATGTTATCCTCTGATGAATACTATGCAAACCTGCAGGTGTCACATCAATTTATTTTCCAATTTCCTGTCCGCTGAGATACCCGCTCTCTTTCTATCTCTCTACTGTCCGACTAGATGAAATATTGAGGGCTTTTTCTGCAGAGGAGCAAACTGGCCCTATTTTACCCCATGTGAGCCAGACACTGGGGCGATCGTCTTGAACATCCAGCTCAAGTTCTGTAGTGCTCTGTGGCCCCACAACAACGCACAATAAATCAACGAAGCATTTCATTAGAGCAGACGGCTACATCTCCAGCGAGCCGGTGCCCTGTGTATTGTAAAGGTGCACGGCGCCGGACCAGGTCAGGCTAAAAACTAGAATGCCGGTGTTGTCACAACCAAACAGCCTGACCCCTTACTCCCTTCGTCACGTCAAGGGGTCAGTGAGGCATGACAACCCCACACAACAGAAGGATCGTGTGACAGCGCAGCGAGTATAAATGTATTCAGCTCTTCTCTCCCTCCCTCCAGAGGTCTAGCCTCCGCTTCAGATCTGTCCAATGTCATGAGCAGAAGTATGCAAATGATATTCACAGTGTTCCCTTGTACTGTTCAGCGAGTCTGCTCTGCATATTCCAAACTGGAAATCTCCTCAGGTGGGATTTCACTCAAAAACCATGAGAAATTTCACACATAATAAATAAACTGCATTTTTTTTATTAAAACACTAATTAGAAAAAGATGCAATCTAGTGTATCCACTGATCTAAATTATATCCTGACAGAAAACATATGTTCATTCATTTCTCCACAAATCATCCCATTCAACAAGCACAAAATAAGAGCTTTTTAAAGCATAAACCAGTGAAAATCCTCCCCAATCTCCTTCTAGAGTTCCATACCTCTTTCTCATGCAGAAACGTCAGGTAGGGGACGAGAAGGCAGAGCGTGTCAGCAGAATCAGCAGTGCGCACGCAGCGGTCTATTCCACTCTGATGTGATGGCAGCATGTGAGCTGCTTTAGCTCTCTCAGCTATTGTTACAGCCGCCAGTACCGCACTGAGCATGCTCCGAACACCGATCCACTCACCGTTGGCATGGAACCACTCAAGCACAGACCTCACTAAAAAGGACCTCCCTGATATCCCCCACCTGTCCTCTCGAGGGGGTTTTCCTTGTTTTTGTGTCTGTAACCCTGTGAACCAAAGCAAAGCTTTACAGACGAGAATAAATTGATGTAAAACATCCACTCATGAAGTTAACGGAGCTAAATAAGGCAGTTGTAACTGTAGCTCTAACATCATTTTCTCAGTCATTGTCTTCTGTCTTGAGTTTGATACAATGAAATTCAGTTTAATCCAAACTGTGATGTTATGGGGAAAAAAAATGATTTGACACAATCAGAATACACAGTCGATACTCGGAATGTCCAAAAACCAACTAGTGAATTAGCAAAGTTAACAAGTTTGTTTAGGTGTTAATGTTGTTTATCTATTTTAAAAGAATTTTAAAAAATAAAATAAAACAAATGAAAATCTAAATAAATAAATAAACTATTTTTTATATTTAATAAAATAATAAAATAAATAATAAAATAAAAATAAACAAAACAAAATAAAACACATTTAAAAAAATAACAATAAAAGCTAAATAGTTTATCTGGGTTTTTATTTTTATCTAAAATTAAATGAATATAAAATAAATTAATTTAAAACTACCTAGTTTTTGATTTGTATTATTTTATAATACAAATAACTATTAATATTTATCTAGAAAATAAATAAATAGAAATCTAAATAAATAAAGCTAGTCTAATAAATAAATAAATATCCAAAATAAAACTAGTTCATGATTTTATTTTTATTTAATTTAAAATATCTAAAATTAAATACAAATTAAAATAAATAAATACATACATACATGCATGTAAAATTACCTATTTTTTGTGTTATATTTATTTAAAATTTTTAAATCTATTAATATCTATCTAAATAAACACAAATCTAAATAAAGCTAGTTTATATAGGTTTTTAATATTTATTTAAAATTGTAAAAAAAATAAAGTCTAAATAAATAAATACATAAATAATCTAATTTTTTATTAAATAAATAAGTAAATAAACAAACAAACAAAATCTAAATAAAGCATTTGAAAAATAATAAATAAATAAATACCTATCTAAAAATAAATAATACAAATCTAAATAAATAAGCTAGTTTATCTGGGTTTTTAATATTTATTTATTAAATAAATACAGTATATTTATTTATTAAATAAATAAAGCAAATGTCAAAAAATCTAAATAAATAACTCCGTTCCAAAGCATGGCCAGTAATCTCCACTGGAACGCAGTGCAGGATTGTACTGCATTCCCATGAGAGGGCTTTCAAAGCATATTGGCTGTGCTGTGTAATTACAGTATGTTGCGTGGAGTTGTCGTGGCTGGGCCATATGGAGAGAGCTAATCCTCCGTGTTACCGCACATGCTTCTCAGCTCCTCCAGCGATCAGAGCGCTAAACAGACATCAGCTGAGCCTGTCAAGCCCCGTGAGTCTGCTGTAACCCTGAAACTGGATCTCTGGGGCTCAGGGCTGCAGCGGGTTAAGGAAGGGATTTCCTCTTTGCCTCTGTCGTACCTCAGTGATCTATTGGGATCAAGTGCAGGAGGTCGGCGACCGATGCTTTATCAGCATTTGATACCGAGCTCCCTGGAGAGACTCAAATTTACTATTAGCTTTTGTTTCAGGGCTTCTAACCTTTCATTAGCCAAAGTGACACTTTTAACAGCTTTTTTTTTTTTTTTAATTGTGTAATTTATCTTTATAAGTTATTAATCATGATATCTATCTGTTCCAGCACTTTAATAGCTAACCGCACTTGTGGGTGGGATCAAAATAAAATCACAGGTCCCTGTGGTTCAGTTGGGGATGGTTTAATACACTACAGCCAGTAAAAGCTTCATCCATTAGCTTGAATGCTTCTCCAGAGGGCTGGATTTATATAGTCTATTGATGAGCAGCAGCACACAGTGAAACAACAGACACAATATGCTGAGCGAAACATATCATCTGATTCACATTCAAACACTACAACATTTTTCTATAGCTTCAATTACAAACATAAACATACATTTTTTGGGGGATATTTATCAGCAGGTCTATGGTATTCTTAAAAGTACCATGTACTTTACATCTTAATACACCCTAATAATATTTTCACATTTTTATATTGGTTTTATTAAAAATTATAGAAAATATTCTGTTCAAAAGTAATATATTATATTATATATTAGACATATGTAATAATTCATATTTTATGATGGAATTCTTGGTCTGGAACAAGAGTAAAACAACAACAAATCTATATAAAATATAATATGCACTACTGTATATACTAAACACTATGAGGTTAGCTTTAGCAAGTCAAATGAGTTGGACATTACATGAAGTAGAATTTATTAGAAATAGAAATCTTTTGTAACATTATAAATGTCACTGCTGATGTGTCCTTGCTAAACAAAAATATTTATTTATTTATTTTAAAAGAATTACTGACCGCAAGAATGAATGGTACTAGTGTATCTATATATATATAAAAAAAACTTTCCCATGACCTACCAAGGTTCAAAGTTTTAAGGTTACCACACAGTTTTAATACAAATCGACCCATTGAACACAAAAGTGCCTTCAGTTGAAGAAACATCAATTCAGAGCGCAGTGAATTAAGCATTTTTAAACTGACAAATGCACAAAATGGATCCAGATCTTTAAGGTTGTTGCTGTGTCTGGGAGAAGGGAAGCATTAAAGTGATTGATGGGCTTCAGGGCTTAGAGAAAGAGAGAGTCTCAAGCTGGTGGCCATGACACTCAAGATGCAGAGCGGCCATAGAGCAGCGGCCGTCACCCTGCCCAAAGACTCGCCATTCCTAATTTATGAGGGCTCTACCAAGCCTCAATAATTCATACACCCAGCTCCACACAGTGATCACTGAAGCACAGACCGCCTTTCATACAAGACCAAAAAAAAAAATTTAATAAATAAACACCATTCTCTTTCAGACAAGGTTTGCCTCTCCATTATGAGATTCTTTATTTCGGCGGCAGTGGGACTATATTTGGTACTGCCTATGAATCATCTGACGCACAAATGGCTGCAAGACAAAAAAGCTGAAACGGCATTCACAAAACAACTGTTAATATATAAGGGGTTATCGCAAAATTCTGATGCATTATGATTCAAAACCAAGTAAAAAAACGAATTCACTGCTGATACAGTAGGTCAAACCTACCAAACTGTAGCTATTTATTATCCTTTTATTGTGATCATTAAAAAACACCACGATGAATTCACTAAGAATGCACTGCGTCCCTAAAAAGTAGGCCTAACTGAACTGAATATTTGCGTAGGATGTCATAAAAATGTATTAGTTTAGCTCTAGGGCTCCATATTCTATATTTGGCACCATTATGGGAGACAATATTGGTGGACGGATGAGAGACAATCGATTGTTCCCTGAGAAAAGGGCTCACAATACACGCTGACACAAATACGGGGAGAGGGCAGCTGGGTTTAACACACTGACACACATACTGATGGTGCATGTGAGCATCTCTATCAACTCTATCAGCTGAGCAAAGAAACTGAATGGGATATGCATATATAATGTGTCAGATGTGGGTCAGTGTGCGGCACATTGCTCATATAGATGCATATGTTTAATGTGCCGTACTGAAGTAGTGGCTGGTGCTGGCATCACTTCCTGTGCTCCTCTGAGCCTGGGAAACGGCATGGGAACTGTCCCACATTCCTCAGACGAGTCCCGACTGTGGACTGCAAACGTGTACAGCAGGAATGTATTGTCATTAGTGCATGGGACAATGTCAGTGAGACTACAAGGTATTGACTCAACTACTCTATTCAATGAAGCTGCTACGTACCAATGACATATGGGTGCTGTGTGTGAATGGAAAGTTTGATTAGTCCATTAATGGGCCAGACAGTCTAAAGCAGGGGTGTCAAACTCAATTCCTGGAGGGCCGGAGCCCTGCAGAGTTTTGCTCCAACCCTGCTCCAACACACATACCATGTTGTTTTCAAATAAGCCTCAAGGACTTGATTAGTTGGATCAGGTGTGTTTAATTAGGGTTGAATCTAAACTCTGCAGGGCTCCGGCCCTCCAGGAATTGAGAGATCACACTATAGAAACTGCCTAAAATTAAGTATAAAGAAGAGAAGGAAGCGGCCCTAGGCAGCTGCCTACACATGCCAGGATCCGCCACTGCCAGATGCAGTTAGAAATTTACTAAAAACAAGCCTATCGCAAGACATCTAGTAGGGGGGGCACCTGGGGAGGCCAGCCAAATTTCAGGGGGGGCCGGTGCCAACCCTGGCCACCACGTAGACACGCCCCTGACCATAACCAACCCACATTCTTACAGGCAGGTTCTGAATGATGGGTCTCTCTGTTGGTTAATGGGTCTCTTATTAAGTGCCCTACACAATGAGAAATTTTTTTTTTATAATTAAAGGGATAGTTCACCCAAAAGAATTTTAAAATTCTGTCATTAATTACTCACCCTCATGTCGTTCCAAACCCGTAAGGCTTTAGTTCATCTTCAGAACACAAATTAGAATATTTTTGATGAAATCCAACTGTCCAGCAATACAACTGACACGTTCAAGGCCTAGAAGGTAAAGATAAGATATATGTAAAGATATAAAGATATTAAAATAGTCCATGTGACATCAGTCATTAATAGGGTTGCAAAAAGGTGGAAAATTTCCAGTTAATTTCGGAAACATTCCAGAAATTTTGGAAACTTTCCAGGATTTTTATGGAATCTTCCAGGGATTTTTGGAACGTTTCCGGAAATTTACCAGAAATTGTTCACCCCTTTGCAACCCTAGTCACTAAACCGTAAAAAAAAAAAAATGACTTTATTCAATTTATTGTCTTCAGTGTGTGTCAGTCTTCTGAAGAAGCCTGAAGAAATTGTTGAAAAAAGTTATTTTTGTTTTCT